CTGTGGATGCCTCAAATTTTACAGATTTGCCCCCCTTTTTCACTATTTTCGGGAATACATGATAGTTACTTCCTATCAACTTAGCCTTGTACAAAGTTTCATTTTCATCATCAGTAACTTTAATTTGCCCATTTTTACCATAAAATCTTGCTCCATTGATATCCACCCTAGGTCCAGATATTAAATTTCGTCTCAGTTCAGGTGAGTATAAACACATCTTTAAGCAAAATAACTATATCCCCAAATTTCATTTTAACAGTACCCTTCCCATGAATTGGAAAAGTTATCCCATCAATAGCTACTAGCATATTCTCATTTTTCACAGGAGAAAAAATATCAAAAAAACAATTCACGATTTTTACAAAAATGATGAGATGCAGCAGTATCAAAAATCCAACTATCATCATTTTCCTCCAAATTGTTAACATTAGCTTGAGCTATAAAATGGGACTGAGCATGGGAATTATTTTTACCTTTACCTTGGGTTTATTCTTACACTTGGGTTTAGATGTTTTATTACTACTAGATACAGCTGAGGAAACAGAAGAAGCAGGTGAGGGTGATCTGGAAAAATTACCTTTCATTCTACAGTATTTTTGAATATGACCTGGACGGCCACATTTATAACACTTGAGCCCTTTAATCTGCTTAAATTTGGGTTCACAGTGAGTAGTACTTTGAACTTCTATAGTCTTATTGGAGTTTTCCCTATCTATCTCTCTTAAATTAAGACGCGTTTCCTCTGCTAGTATTTCAAGTTCAACATTTTTAAAAATGAACTTTTCATCTGGCCACCTCAAAACATTCTGAACTACTTGATCAAATTTATCTGGAAGGAACCTAAGAAACTGGAAACATATATATACGTCTCTTACAGCCTGATTAATATCAGCTAACTGTTCAGTTACGCGTTTTTAATCTAGAAGAAAAGAAACTAATACTTTCATTTGGCTTAATTTTACAATTTAAGAACTCTGAAAACAGGGACATATGTCTTGACCGATAATCTGGCTGAAAGTATTTGGCAAGCGTATTCCATGCCACTACCGGGTCATCAATTTCACATATCAAGTTTCTATATTCAGGGCTTACATTCATATAAATTAACGATAATGCCAATCGACTTCTATTTTGATAGTCGGCAATAATTTCTTTTGTAATACCCTTAACATCATTTAAATCAGGACATTTTTCAATACCTTTAACCAAAAGCCATGCATTTTTCTCATTTAAGACAAACTTCATATCTTTAGACCATGGAAAATAATTACATGCATCAAGTTTAGCAATATTATGCATGACACTAACAGTAGCCATATTTTAGTTTTAATAAAAACCGCCCCCCTAATCTCTTAAGTCCTAAATTAACTTTAAACTTCAAAAGTCTGCACTAAAAACTCACATGGTAGCCTCTGGAACCAAGGAATTTATTCTTCAAACTTATTAACAGTCATCTTGTGGACAGGTACCAAAGAACTTTATTCAGGAAGTCATCTTGTGAACAGGAACCAAGGAACTTATTACGGACTGCTGCATCCTTCTGAAGGGGCTGGAAACTGCACACTCAAGTGCCAGGAAAGCAGGAACTAGAAGGAGGGTTGAGCCGGAGCGACGCGAGATACTTATAGCAGAAGTAGGCATGACGTCATCTCACGGCAACCAATCAGCTATCGGCACGAATCGGCTTTCCAGATGACGTAACATCACGTTTCGGTTTTTGCATCTTAATTAGGCTGAAACAGTCCGTTCTCAACGCAAACAGTGGCAGTAAGAAAAAGAAGTAGAAGTAACTACTATATTACATTAAAATAAGAACTAAGCCTAAATAAACATTTCAAGGAGGAGAGATGATGCAGTAAAAGGTTTACAATAAGTTATATTTTTCAACAAAGGCCTTACGCGCATGCTTCAATGCGATGCATGCGCAGAAAGTTTGTAGCTTTGAGGTCCGGATTATATATCATTCCGGATTATGGGTGTCCGAATTAACGACTTTTGACTGTATTCAGTTTTGAGGGCCGTAAAAAATCGCCAAACTATTGCTGATGCTAGTGCTGCCAGAAATAATTGCGGCAAGCCTAATGCAAGAAAGGAAGTATAATAGTAAATAAATAAATGTTTTAATTTAGATGAAAGGTTAATTTCATATAATACTCTTTTATTATTATAATTTATATAAAAAAGGCAAAAGATGACTGAATGGAAGCATAGGAGTAAATAACTATTTCAGATCATTATTATAATTTATATAAAAATTACTATACATAACTGACTTGATGCCTGTATCACTATGATGACTTGATGCCTGTATTTCATTACCGAGTTATCGCTAAAGCATAATTTCATCTCGTTGGTTGTTCAAACATAATTTTCTATAATGAATGATGCCTCTTCTTTGAAAAAATTCTCGGTAAAGTGCAGAATCGCCCACTTATTTGTTTGCCGCTTTTTACAAGAGTAAAAACAATTGCATTTTTGTCAACTTTCTTTTACTTTTTAAGTGAAAATAGGTCGATGTGTACATACGTAAAGTCAAGGGTGTGCGCAATGCCATTTTTGTGCAATTTTTGAATTTTTTTTTTTAAAATGAAAATAGATGTGTGCATGGATACCGAGTATGTGCTATTCTTAAAAACGCGTCAAGTAGTGGGTGATTCTGCACTTTACCCAAAATTCTAGAAAAAGACTTTTCGTCATAGTCAATTCCCAAATTGTGAAATCCATAGGATATCAAAAAAGGATTTTAAATTAAACTAGTATTTCAATGCTGTCTTAAGAAATATAGAACTATATAAACTTACGCAATCTGAAATCAGCATGTACAGTAGATTTGGCACACTGTTAAATGGGCGCGTTTGCTAGATTTGGCGCTTTTGCACATACATTTTCGCTGCAATTTTTTTACGCCCCTTAAAACGGAATAGTACCAGAATTTTTAACCCTGTAATGTTAATCAAATCTGTCATATATTTAAGAATATTGCTTTTTAAATTAAACTTATTTGCTTTCTTCTTTCATAGTTTGAAATTTACATTAATATTTTTAAATAATATTTTTAATTTTTTTTAAATAATTTGAATTATAACCTATAAAATTTTTACTGTCATCTTCAAGTAAATGTATTTCTAGGCATGCTAGAAAACATTTATAGTTTTATTCAAAATTTCCAGATATATGTGAATTTATGTATTGGTATGTTTTGAAATCTGGCACATTTGTTTTAAACAAGAATAATATAACAGTCCCAAATGTGGTTTATGCACTTTGTTACAATCTTTAATAAATTGCAACAGCTATTTTTAACTTTAAATTTCCAAATAAACTTTTGCTGAGGATTATTCTTATGGAATTTCTTTAGTCACATTTTTATTAATGATACATGAAGTATTAATAATATACGAAAAGTATTTTTTAAATTTATAACGAATATTAATCAAAACTTTTAAGATTCCCCGCCTCACTTTTTTTTTTTTAAGTAAAGCTTTACCCTTGCCATTTTATAGTCTGCTTTTTTTATTTAACGTCATTTTATGTGCAACAAAATTTATTTGCAGACTTGAAAATGTTGTATCTTATGTATTTAATACATCTGAATAAGTCAAACAATATTCCAGAAATGTTTTAAATGAAATATGCTATCTTCTACTATAGAAATTCTAATAAAAATCATTTTGAAGATGTTTCATGTCCATGGACATTTTATGATAATACCTTCTAACTTCTAATATTATTAGCAAAGCCCCTCTTTTTTTAAAATACAATTTATTTTTATATAAACATAAGATTAAGAATTGACATTTTTTTTTTAAAATCAAACTGTGATAAAAACATTCAATACTGTAGTGATCAAATTAATCAGAAAAATTACAGAAGTTCAAAGATTCTGTAGAAATCCTTTAGAGCTATCCTGGATATGATAGCCAATGAGGGTACAATCCTTATTAAATAAATCTAAGGTAATTTTTAAAAATAAATAACTCATTTTGTTGTTCAAAAATGCATATTTTCCTATGTAGTATATTTTTCATCATACGCTTTAAAAGTCTAATTTAGAATATATTTGTTAAGACCTGAATTCTAATCATTAGTAATATAATAAATAATTATTACTGTTACAATTATTTTCACATTATTATTTCTGTTAAATTTACTGTTATATTAGAATTTATTAAAATTCTTGTAAAAAATTTTTAAAAGGTTGCCCTTTTCTATGCACATATTGCAAATTTTATTTCAACCAAGGTCACTCCACTTTTAATTCTCTCAACTCCACTAAAAGGAATTAAATGAGTTTAACTAATGAATGATAATCTAAGTTTAGAAAGAGATTATTCCGAACTAAACCAGTTGTAGTGTATCTCTCATATTCCTCCTGACTGGATAACTACACTAACTTTTGGTAAGCTTCTGGTTTGCTTGTTTAGAAATCATGCGTAAATTTGTTTGTTTGGCAAAGCACATGCAAGCTACCTGTTTAAGCAGAGGAATGCCTTTATGTATTTTATGGTATGCAGTGTTTAATGGCTGCGGAATATTGGGTCGGAAAGTAAAAAAAGTGCGCCAAACTAGATTCCTAAATTACTGCATAAGTTTTTCACCAAATTTTACAAAATTTGATATTTAGGCATTAATTTGTGTGGTAGAGTTGAAAACAGAAAAAAAATTGGCACTGTCATTTCAGAAAAGTCCAATTTTGTGTCAAAATACATATGTTAGAACAACGGTATGTATAAATTTAATATGTATCCTAAATTGGGCTTTCAAGATAGGAATAAAGCAAGTTAAATTCAACCAAGTAGAATAGAAGATATAGAACTGTTCCTCCCACTTGGGTACCCATGAACCATAAAGATGGCCAAATGAACATTTTTCACGAATTCACTCAGTGTGTTGGAGGCTTTTTGTGGGGAGGGAGATAATCAGAAAACATTGACAAATCTTGTTTCATATTTACTATAATCAGGCATTTTTGTACATTAATATTTTTTTTACTATCTTAGTGTCCCTACAAGACATTCATATGCGTAAAGCATTTAAAAGCTACATAGTTTTTGAACAGCAAGTTGTATCAAGAGAATCAATGCCAGCTGCTATTCGAGAAACATATTTCATGTGTGATAAACCACCTCCATTAGATAAATTAAATCCATACAGGTAATTTTTTTTAAAAATATTTGTCATTTTAAAAAAATGAAATTTGCTTTTAGGATGTTTATGTACTAATGTCAGTTAAATTTCATTTTTAAGAAACAGTTTCTTAGAATGCTCCACATTGATCTGTTTTTGATTATTTTTTTATCTTATGTTTTGATTTGCCCTTTTAGAAATGCAATATTTATTTGTTAATGTTTTATGTATAAATCTGAATTCAAGTTAAATGTGAATTGCATTAGCTACTACTTGTTGAAAAAAATAAAATTGTGTTATTTCGTGTATGTTCTTAAGCATATCTTTTCTTTTTAAAAAGCTACTTATAAGACAATGAATTCTCATCATTCAGAAAATAGATTTTGATTATAATTTTATATCTCAAGATGTCAATAAAATTTGTGTCCATTACTTTATATAAAAATGACTTGTTATCTGTGAAAGTTTTCTTTTTCTTTTTTTTCTTTCTTTTTTTTTTTTTTTTTTAATTGAAATTTTAATCAGTATGTTTTTTTTTTTTTTTTTTTTTTTTTTTTTTTTTTTACAGGGAAGATGGAAAAGATGGGTTAAAATTTTATACTGACCCAAATTACTTTTTTGATTTGTGGAAGCAAGAAATGTTAAAGGACACAGAAAAGATGGCACATGATCGCGGGAAAAAAGTAAAATTTAATGTTTTCTTTAATATAAAACATTTTTAAGACATATATCATAATTATATCCTTATATGTCATTTAAGGTTTGTCATTCATTTGACATTTTAATTTCTAAAGTGCCATTGATTGTAAAATTTACTTTTGGAGTTCTGTGTCACTAACAGTAGAGAAGCATCTGATTTTAAGAAAAGTGGTAAATGGAATAGAGCTTTAAAATAAATCAAGAGTTTTTTTTAATAAGAGAGTTCAATTTGTTGGCAGCTATATGTACTTGTTACTTATATCTTATTATATATATCTATCATACGTATTTTTTTTTTTTTTTTTTTGAATCGGTATTTATGTTTAATTTTGAACTCGTAATTATCTTCATTTTAATTAGTATCAGTGTTGGGTTCAGTCTGATTTTTCTGAGCAATCTTCATAATTGTATAATTAGAGCAGTAATTTTTTTTGCTTCTCCCCTAAAAAAATTGCCAAAATGTGAGGATGGTTATGGAGCATTTTGTGAAAGTTTTGCAGTCTAGAATTTATAGTATAAATTTCATATCCCAAAAAGGTTTCCGTTAGCATTTCGGGGAGGGGGGATAAATAAATTTTAAAATATCTATCAAATACAAAGTAATGATTCAAGTAATTAGTACATAACCAAATAAGTATTATATTATATATTTGAGTTCATGAACAAATGAGATTCTGGCACTGATATGATTGCTATTTCATGAGATTAAGATTTCTATATAAATGGAAGGTGTTTTGATATATTGCATTGTCTATACATAAATATTTTGCTTTAACAGAATATCTGTTCTCCAGTGACACATTTTTTACATTTAGAAATTGATCATCTAGTATTTGCACTGTTAATTCATACTAAATAATGAATAATGAGTGTAATGACTAATAAATTTTAAGTTCCTTTGGAAAGGGACATTTTTCATATTAAAAAATTATACAAAATATATACTGGACTTGATCTGTATTCTGAATGGGTAAGTCAAGAGCTCAAAATTTTAATTTATATTCAAGAGTAGGAGCAGATTTTTATTATAGCCCATTGAAGTTATTTAAATAAAAAAATAATAGATAAACTGATAATTGCATAAAAATAATAAGAAATTATCTGAAATTGATGAATTTGGCATTCACAGAATCTAGAATATCAAGATAAAGTCACTACACTGTTTACTGTAAATAATATAGTATCATCTGAAATATTGGTCTGAAAACACACTGTTGGATGTTGTGTCTAAAATGCTAGGGACAAAAACTGGGAGACACAATCCTTATTAAGACTCACCTCATCTTTAAAGAGGTTAGAAGACAAATAATATATCTAAAAAAATATCATATTATGGCAAAATCAGTGCTATCAAGAACATATCAGGTACAAAATTTTGTCTCGTTATTAGAAATCAACTTTCCAATATTTATTCATTTACAATTTTCAGGAAATTTAAAATATTATTGGGAAAGGATAAATGTTTGTGTTGATTCTTACAAGTTCTTAAATATGATAATTTGATGTATTTGTAATATGAACTATGATATCTGAAAAATTTGAAAGAATAATAAAATGAAGTTCTTAATAACAATACAGAAAACGCTTCTTAATGTGATCACTCATAATGTTAGCATTCTGATAGTGTTGTCAAATTGCCAAATTGACCATTTGTATATGGAAACATCGAAAATCTATTATTTATTATGATTAACAAATCAGTTAAGATTATCAAAATATTTCAGAATGGATTTTTTGAGCTGAAGTAAAGTCGCCAAATAAAAGTTAAAAATCTCCATATAAGGTTGAAATAGAGTATAAAAATTGTTAAATGACAAAGACATATCTTCAAGTCGAGGATTTAAAGTCATCTTAACTAAATAACATGAATTGTGAGGAGTTTAATGCGTGGTTGGTAACTGAGGGGAAAAAACTCAAGTTGAAATGTCCGAGACAGAAGATAGCTGCTAGTTGCTTTTTGAAACAAATTCAAATACATTTTGTGGTAAACTTTTTATAGGTGATGATGATGAAATCGGAGAATTTTCTATAAATATTGAGATGAGAGATGCTTTACAGTTATTAAGATTAGGGATACAGCATTGATCAAATAATTATAGAAACATTATGAATGTAAACAATTTATAAATGAACTTTAGCATAACATTTGTAGACAATCAACTGTTAATAACTCTTTTCAAAATTAAAATGTTGTGAAAATAATTTGCATATTTATATTAAATTAGTTTTTGAAGTTAAATCAGTTTGAATTAAATTAGTTTTCAAAACTCCATTGATGTTTTGAAGAATATTTTTTTCTTCACCTTATGTTATCATTTGGTAAACGTTACCAAAATATTCATATACAAACATGATCACATAAAGTGACACCTTCTGAATAAAGAAAAGAATTTTACTGATGTTTGACATATTTCTTTCTTTTACCTCATCCTCTTTTTTTTTTTAAAAGGTGACTAGTGAAGCACTAGCTGAGCTAGTTTTACTTCCTTGTACGAAGTAAAAAGGAAGTGTTGTAATCACGAAAATTTTCAAGCATCATATTTCAACGAAAATATTCATTTTGGCCGCTATCAAATGCAGTTTAACGATGTTTTTGCATGTAAGGACAGAGTAAAACACTCTTTTTCCCAAAAAAAGTTATAAAACTGATTTAAAATGAATTATAAAGAAAATTTTTTGTGGCGTTTGTGCGTAGGTATATACCTTGCATAACTCAAAAATGAGTAGCCTCAGAACATTGAAATTTGTATATAGTACTGCTGTAACATGTAGATGTGCACCTCGTATTTTGGTTACAATCGGCAACACCAAATGTATATAAATATATGTATATATATATATCCATGGTTCGTTACGGTCCTTAAGAGTCCTTAAAAGTCCTTAAGTTTTTTCGAATCGATTTTTGGTTCTTAAAAGTCCTTAATTTTGGCCCAAATCTGCAGAAGGTCCTTAATTTTAATCATATGAAATTTCTGGCTGTTTTTACGACTGCTATTCTGAGTATGAATTAGCATTTTGGAGGAATATTTTTGGCAATTCAATGACAAAATATCGTTATCTTTTGAATGGGTGAATGCGTATATGGGTTATAATTTGTTCCTACTTCTAATATAAATGGTCGGATAGACTTTCTGAGCAAGAAGTGAAACGTAAGCATTTTAAAATTATTTAATTTTTTCTAGTGAAGAGCTCTTAAACAACTTTTCGCATTTGGGGATGTGAATTCTTTTATTAAATTGCTCTAAATTTGGCGACTTATCAACATTATGAGGATTTTAAGATCAGTTTATATAGAAAATTTTTAATTCCGAGATCTGAGAATTTTTCGCCGATTTTTTTAGAACATTGTAACATTGATAAATTTCATTAAAATATTGGTAATGTAATTATATTTAAGAAATAACATTAAAGTAAAGCATTTTTATTTTTTGATGTCATATTATAAAGTTCCATTTTGGCCACTTAAAGCATAATTTATGAAACAGTTCTTAGCAAAACAGCTATGTAATTAATTAAAAATGTTTTTAGTTTTTTCATGGTAAGAGTTTTCCCTGTAATTGTCTCAGAATATGCATCAGTTTTCTCTATAAAATTATTTTCACACTTTTTTCCTCCGATTTTTTTTTTTCAAAATATTTCTGTCTTTTTGCTGTTACCGAATTGGTAGGGGTAATTTTTGTTTATGATTTTAGACATTGCAGCTTGGAAGGCAAGATTTATAGACCCATGGTTCTGGAAAATTCCAGAAAAATGTTACGAAATGAAAAATGTCTCTATGGTATTAATACATAATTTCTTACTTTTTAGAGAACTTCTGGAAGAACAATGAAAACATAATAGTTGAATGTTTTACTTCTGATACTAGTATCTTTTTCTTAACATTTTTTATCTTAACATTTTTATCTTCTCTTTATTTTCTCTACTTTTCACTAAACACAAGCATGGAAAATATCAGAAATGCTTCTAATCTTATCATATGGACAGACAGTATAGAAAATAATTTTTTTATTAATAAAGAAATTGAAAATGGCAATTTAATCAGTCCATCTAATATGTCTTAATGCATCATGCACAGGGATGGCGCTAGGCATTTTCCCACCTGATGCAATCTCTGTGGATCCTAAATTCTGCTGCCTGGTGCCTTTCTAAATTTTGCTTCCAACGCCTGTTCTAAATTCTAAAAGTTTTTGACATTTCTAGGTTTTGTTCTCGGTGTATCACTAAAGTCTAAAAAATAAAAATTAGTAGCTTTCTGTATACATTCTAAATACATTTAGCGTTTTTAGAATAACAGAAATCTTTAAGTAAATCCAAAAATTCTGAAACGAAAAGGAAACATGGAAGGAAGAAACTGAATACATTAAGAGAAAGGGAAATTATTCTTCAAAGATAGAGGTAATATTATGTTAACTACCCAATTGTTTACAGTTTCAGCCTTTACTATAATTTCCCATTTCTATTTTCTCACCAGAATGCAAGTTACTTTCACAGCTTTTAAACTGAGGTTTTTGGAGTGTAAGACAAGAGTTTGTTTCTAACCTCCACTTGCTACCTGCATTAGTTCCTGCCAGCTCTGATAATTTGTAATTATTCGTCTTTACATTACCGCTGCTGACATTTGAATTTGTTCTGACGAATTATGATGAAATTAAATTGTATAGTCTTTGATCCATATTTTTAGTTTGAATCCATAGTCCATATTTTTAGTTTCAATTTGATTCTTCTTGTTTAATTACATCACCATGAACTGTAACTGATTTTGTTAGCATAAGAACATGCCTTTATGTTCTAAGTTCTTTTTAAATAAGAAGTTTAGTTAAACCTTTGTCTGACTTTGTAGTTACTTTCAGACGTAGCGATAATTTGCTTCACATCTGTCCGGAGGGTTTTGGACTATTTAACTTTTACCAGATCAAGTAAACCCTCATAGGTACATTTTGGAGAGGTTGTAGGATTTAAAACACGCAGAAACTAGTAAGAAGAT